GGGTGACACCGGCCCCGCGGGTGGCACCGGCCCCGAGGGTGACACCGGCCCCGAGGGTGACACCGGCCCGAGGGTGGCACCGGCCCGAGGGTGGCACCGGCCCCGCGGGTGGCACCGGCCCTCTCCCGCTGTCTCCCTTCTGCTCGCACTCCGTTCCCCTCACTGCCCCCTCCCGCAGCGTCCCGACCTTCCCGCGGCGTGCTCCGTGCGGTCACCTGTAGCAAGAGCTGTCGCTTGGCTCAGGCCACCCGGTGTCCCTGCCGTCACTCCGTTTTCCCCCGTTTCCAATCAATCCCGTGGGCTCCGGCGCCCCCGCCTCCTCTCCTGCCCCGCGGGGCCGGGGGATGCTGAGGCGGGCGGGGGTGCCGCGGGGCCGGTGCCCCGTGGCCCGGAGGAGCCGGCGCGCTCCCTCCGCGGGGCGCGGAACCGGCTCCGTCTGCGCGGCGGGGCGGCGGGGCCGCGGCCGCGCCGGGCAAACCTTCCCCGGGCTCGTGGCGCCCCGAGGGGCCCGGAGCCGCCCCCCGCAGCCCGGTCCCTCCCTCCCCGCCGAGCGGGCACTCACCGCGGGCGCGCTCCCCGCGGGGGCGGCTGCGCTGCTCGGCCGCGGGGCGGGGGGGCTGCGCCGGCACCGCCGACCCCGGCTCCGGCCGCGCACGCAGGGCGGAGGGAGGGGGAGACGGGGATGGAGGGAGGAGGGATGGAGGGAGGGAGGAGGGAGGGAGGAGGGCGCTGCAGCTCCTCAATTATTCAGCGCTTCCCCTCCCCGCCTGCCGCATGTGACCGCCGGCAGTACCCGGCAATACCGAGCCGGCCCCGGGAGAGCTCCCTGCGCGGGGCTGCCACCCCCACGGCCACCTCCCCTCCCTGCCAGTCCTCCCTGCCTGTCCGAGCGTCCTGAGGGATGCGGGTGGCCTCCCCCAAACGGTCTGGCTGCTGAAAAATAGCTCTCCTGGCTGCCTCCTCCAGCGCAGGGCTTTCCTCACCCCACGGACACAGCGCGGGGAATCTCGGTTTTGTTTTCTCCTTGAGCTGCGCTGTGCGATTTGGGTGTTAATGCTGTAATCCCGGAACAGGCAGAATTAGGACTAAAATAATGCCTCATGCATTGCAGCATGCTGTGCTGTCCACCCCTCTGCACAACCCAGTTGGAGGAATTAGGTATCAGGTGCAGGATATATTTAATATTTTATACCCGTAGCTTCTTTAGAGAATGGCTGAAATTAATGATCAAGATTATTCCTTTTTGCAGTTTTGTTTCTCAGTTTCTGCTGTTTAGTTTGCTCTAGAAATACTCCCTGTCTGCATCTGTTTTGTACCACTTTGACATAAAATCCAAACTGGGTTCATCTCCAGTGATGCCTGGGGAGGATCTGGTTTCAGTCTGTGTTACAGTTTCATTCTATAGCTTTTAACAGGACCTATTCCAGATGAGAGCTGTGTCTCCAGTGGAGAGAGTCCTTTCATCCTTCAAATACTGAAATAAATCTCTTCTGATAAAATTAAAGGTGAGATCCTTCAGTGTAACCAGTTCAGTTCTGAAGCCAATGTTTGCCTAACGTGAGTGACCATGACAGGATCTGCATCGATGGCAGTGACCTTCTGGGGACATACAGACAGTGACATTGCACAGATAAACACAGACAAGGTTGGGGTTGGACTAGGTGACCTTTACCCTTCCAACACAAATTATTCTATGATTCCGTATCCATGATCTTGTTTTTGGCCAGGAGAGCAGACCACATGTCATCTCTAATTTCCTTTCCAGCCTTTACTTCTGTGGCAGTTTTTGTGTCTTTCCAGATGAGTGCCATCATCTTCCTGATTTATTAGCAGACTCCTCCTCTCTCCAGCACAGCTTTACCTTGCTCTCTTCCCTCCCTCACAGAAGCCTCCTTGCAGTCCCTCTCTTCCCAAACAGGCACAGAAAAGCCCTCTCCCAGGTTACTGCTGGCCAGCAGAAGGTGTCATCACAGCATGACAGGATGCTCTGCTTCCTTCCTGCCACTCTGGCCAGCACACATCACATCACACAGCACAAATTGCAGTCAGCTGATTACCTTCCTCACAACCAGCAGTTGTGAAACCCCATTTTTATTCTTTTCCTTATTCTTTGATTGCCTGAAAGCAACACTCAGAGCTGCAGCTCTCCTGCCCTTATCTATGGCCCCCATGCTTCCCATCTGGTCGTTGTTTCTCTTCACATCCACTGGCTTCCCCAGCTGCTTCACTCAGTCCCTGGACACTGGATGGAGCTGTGGATGGCTGATAACAGGAGCTTCCCTTGGGCTGCATCTGTGCAAAAGAGAAAACCTTCTCCATTTGTTATCCCCTCTTGTTTTGCATCACTTTTAAGATCATGGTGAACTCCAGCTGACAGCACCACCAGCCTTTTGTGCTCACACTCAACTCCTTGGTGCTTGTAGAGTGTGTGAGTAAAGGGCATGGGCTGGTGTGTTTCTGAAAGGATTGGCAGTGTGGCCAAGTTTTAGGGGGATTTCTTTAAATGTGTGGCTTCAGAATAATTTGATTCATATTTATAACTGGGGCTGGTGTACCAGAGCATGGGCAGTTTGGTTGGTAAGAGCAGAGAGGGGCTTTTTTGTCTTCTTAACAATCATTGTGCAGTACTATGATACCACCCCCATCTTCCACCTTCCCTCTACTGCTCAGAGATCTTTCTTCAGAGGATTTTGCTGTTCAGTGTCTTTCTAGACCCTGTTTTATCCCAGCCTTAATCTCCTTTTTATAAGATTTCTTCTGTTTTACCCAGTGGCACCTGCTGTTAGCTATGCACAACAACCTGCTGCCACCTTGAGTAATACATGCCGCAAATGTTTTGTCAGAGGATCACTTAAACTCTTTCTCATTAATCTTTACCCTGTTCTCATGAGTTTTGTAACTTCCAATCGTGCAGGAATTGAATCTTGAATTTTTACAGCTACCCCTCCAATGTTTCTCTTCAGGTTAATTAAATGGTGATGAAGAACTCAAAGAGGACAAGTTACCCTCTCAACAAGTCCCATCAATGAGGTCACCCTCAGATAAAGGTGAAATTTGAATTTGGCCTTAATAACACCTTGTAGCAGGGATCTCCACCAGCTGCTGTCTCATTATCTTGGCTATTTTTCCTCTCACCATCAAATCTGGCCATTCCAATTTCATGGGACATAATTTCCTTTTTTTGTGACTCTAAATACACAGAGAGAAGAAGTCAGGAAAAGCTGCCCTATTAACTTTCTTTCTTACTCTTATTAAAATGTTTGTTTACCTCTCATAATCCCCTCATACTTGTCTCATCCATGACTAATTAATCATGCCATTTAAATACCACAGTTCCTGCTTTCCTGGGTTATCTCTTTATCTGCACAGCTTCATAATAAAACAGTCAATATCTCTTGACCCCTAGATTCTTGTAGGTCTTCCAGCATCCCCACCTTATGTGCTCCCTCTCCCCACATGAAAACTCCTCAGAGAGGAAAGTCTCATTCCCAATTCCATTGGTTTGATGAGTTTTCTTCAGTGCCGTTTCCCAATATGTTTTGACATCATCAAAAATGACTAATAGAATGTTCCAGATAAACAGCTTGGGGTTCCCCTTGGATTTGCATTGGGGTTCCAATGTGTGTGCTTGATCACCCCAAAACATTTTTGTCAGTCTTACAAAAAGTGCACTGAATTGGGTTATGTTTCCAAAGGAAAAAATTATTTGAAACTAAGAGGTGGAAGCTGCAGCACCTTTCCTGTACATTTGTGTGTCTGGTTGTGCTGGCTGCCATCCCTGCAGCAGTCTCTGTAGGACAAACAGGGCTGAAGGCACAGCACATCCCACTCCTCATTCAGTGAAGATGGCTGGAGAGGGTCAGCTGCCTGTTAGGAACAGTTGAGCCTGCACAGAACAGCACTTCTGTCTGCAGGCACCAGGCTGCACAGGGACATCACAGAAAGCAGCCACTGGGCTGCAGTGGTGGGAGCTGGTTACTCCTGCACCTGCTCTGCATGTCCAGTGGCTCATGTCCATGGCTTGACAAGTGTTCTCTGTGGGAATCCAGGGCTTCCCTCTGGCTGCCCTGGCAGGTCTGGGACCCTGGCAGAGGTCAGGAACCTCCCTGGACAGAGCCTCCAGAGACACTGTCTGTGATCTCTGTCCATGGAAAAGAGTTTTCAATCTTACAGGATGAATTACCAGCTCTGAGTGTTTGATATAAATAATCATTAAGTGTGGCACGGGTGCAAAAGTAAAATTTTAGTATTCTAGATTAGGGGTCCAAAGGGGACAAGATGGAGGAAATTGGGTGTGTCTTGTCCTTTTTCTCCTTCTTCATGCCCTCCATGTTTCACTGTGGTGTTGGCATTTTTCTGTTGGTTCAGGCTGGGGACACACTGTCCAACGTAGGTGACAGATATTGGCACGTTATTGTAAATCCAGCCCAGGGAGTTTCTGGTATTTAATGTTTGTCACATCCCACTGAGGGCAGAGCCCCACACGCTGCCCTGCAGGACAGAGCTGGGCAGGGCAGCAGAACATGTGAGAGATCAACAGAATAAACAACCTGGAAACCAGCACAGACCAATTATGGCTTCTGCTTTGGCAGGGGGCTGACAGACAGAGACTTTCTACAATCTGGGAATCATCAATAGCTCAGATGCCAACAGTTCTGTCTTTGATTTGGTCTGTAGCATCCCAAGCCATCTCCCAGAACAGCAGTGGCTCCCAGACATCCACTGCAAAGTTCAGCTGACAGTGTCTCTGAGCAGAGACCCGGTGGAGCCCTGCAGAAGTACTGGTATTTTTAGAAACATTGCCAGGATGCTTGGCCTCACTTTTTCCTCTTTTTGCATTAGTTGGAACCTCAGTGAGTACCTGTAGGGGTCAGAGTGATTGGAAGCATCCATGTAGGAGGATAAGAAGAAGGATTAATCTTGCTGTCTCATCTGATGGCTTGTGCCATGATGAATACCAGCATGAGGAAGGGCAGTCCCATTATTAAAGCCCTGACTTGAGACTTGTAAAATATCACTGGAGTTTCTGGTTCTGCAGTAGGAGTTCTGGGAGAGTTCCAGAGTTCTCTGTACCCCAGTCATATGAAACTACCTTGGAAGTGCTGCCCAGTCTCAGGGAGTGAGCTGGCTGCACAGGCTGTAATTTCTCTTGGTGAGGGATTATCTCTGCTTTCTTTATGGGACCTCCGTGGGGCAGTTCAGCTGGGGGAATTCACTTGCAATTAGCTGGGCAGGTGAGAGAAAGTGCCTGGAGTGGTGAGCTGGGCCTGCCTCCTCCCTGACCCCCTCTTACCCTGATGCACAGGGCTGCAGCCCTGACCCTGCTGGGCAGGGGATGAGCCCAGCACTCA